ATGCAGAGGGTAATGATGTTGTTTTCCTTGCAATAAATCTCAAAGTCTGTCGAGTGGTGGCTTCCATGGCCGTCGAGGATGAGGAGGCGATAAACCCCGGTTGTTCGACCTTTGGTGTGCCTGTCGAAGTGTTTGATCCATTCCAGACCAATTTCGTTGGTAGTCCAACCATTTTCGGATGTAGCAATCACCCAGTCGTTCGGCAATTGGCTATCCTCGTACCAAGAAGAGATGTGATGGGTGCCCTCCATGATGATGAACGGCGGGAGTACCCAGCCTAAGGCATTGATACACTGGATCACGGTGGACCATTTGGAGTGGATTTGTGGGACGTTCGCATGTCTGGGACGTTCGCTTATCATGTACGTTACTTCAAGTGTTGCCGTTCTGTTATCGACCTGACGGACGACGACGCCGACGACGAAGACGACGACCACGACAGTCAGAGATGGGAGCCCCTTGCGGTCTACCCTATCTCGTTGACCTTGCGTGGGTGGTGGCGGCAGTGTACAGCAGACAGGCCATCTTTGCATGACTCATGTTACAGCAGAGGCGGCCAAAAATCCGCCAGCGGCACACTAGCAAATTTCGGGTCGTCAAGTTAAGCCGAACCGAAGTTCCACCACGCCAGGCAAAACCATTCAGGTCTGCCAGTTCTTATCTCACAGGACTCGAGGAACCGCTCACGGCTACCTCAAAAACGAGCCCATATCATTCTCCAAACCACACTTGCCCCCATAGCTTCTCTTCTAGCTACCGTACTTTGTCTACGCTTTGCTTCATCCACATACGCGACGGACAATGCACCTCGACCATCCTGTTAACCAGTCGCTCCAACAAATCAATGAGAACTCTTGGCTCTTTGGGGACCGGATCCTCCTTACACGGCAGGCCTCGCCTTCACCTGGCTGCCCATCCTGGGGGGATGGGAACGGACTTTACTACGTCGTTTCCGAGCCGCCCAGCCCTCTGCCTCCGTGTCGACCGTTGCCAGCTGAAAGCCACATCCAAAAACTTTATGACGCAGGCGGCGTGTCAGCGGTTTGGAGGGTGGGTGATGCCATCTGCAAAGTCAAGAAATACCCCGATCCGAATATGACGTGGGAGCACGTCACGTTGGATCATCTCCAGAACAAATGCCCCCTTGGACAGCTCAGCTTTGCCATCCCAAAGGTCATCCATCATGCGCAGAACAAGGATCGTTACTTCATCATCCAGAGCCGTATACCTGGCGAGACGCTTTCCGAGGCCTGGCCTTCGATGGACGAGAGCACGAAGGAGTACTACGTCTCACGAATTGCGGGCATCTGCACGGAGCTCGCAGCTTGGACAGGCAATGGCATTCACGGTGTCGACGGGCGGAATCTGTCAGATCTCTATCTCACTCCTCTCCACGGCATCGAAGACATGAGTCCCCAAAATCTCCTCAGGAACTGCGCCAATTTTGGGATGGATTGTTCTAAGTTCGTCTTCTACCATTGCGATCTAGGGCCCGGTAACATAATAATAGGCCGTGGAGAGAGATCTCTTGGTGTGGTTGATTGGGAAATGGCTGGATTTGTTCCTCTGGAATGGATAAGGACGAAAGTCCGCGTTTCAAGCGGATTGGATCTCCCTGGCGACGACGACGACTCGAGACAGGATTGGAGGAGGCGGCTGCAGAGACGATTAGGGCAGAACGGCTATCCCGAAGTTGCGGATCGGTGGATGGCTTGGTTTATGAATGATGGGAACCAAGAAGCGAAGTAGCGGAGGCGTACTTGTTGTAGTGGAAAGGAGAGAACACCCTGGCGTACATAGAGGGCTTGGAAGGGGTAGGAGGGAGAACAAGGGCGAGGAGCCGTGCTGCCCCGCTACTCAGGTGGTTGACAGCGAGGGAGGCGCAGTGTAGAGCTAGAGACGAAGCAACGGCTAGTGGAATTATATTTCTGCGGCACAGCCACTGGAATAGAATCATTAGTTGCCGAGTGGAACAAGTAGGCAGAGAGAAAAACCTGTCCGTCCTGAACGTCGCGCGAGTGAAAGCTGACCTCTCTGCGAGGGGAAGTGGTGGGGTGGCTCTGGGCGGTCTAGCACAGCATAATGCGGGGCACTCCACATCTAACCGGCCAATCATATCCAGTAATTAGCTGAGAATCGTTTGCGCCTTTTGTCTTGCAAATGCAGAGGAAGTACTTTTTAAAACCCTCCGCTCGAAACCGGCGATAGAAGAGCCGGTGAAGGTACAGATAGTCCGGCTTATCATCGAAAGCCAGGCCCCGGGTGTAGTTGATGTACGTGGCAAATTCTCTGGGGAGAAAGCTATCGCAGAGCGCCGCGGCCGACAGACTCCTTCATCTTGATCTTTGCATCCTTCTCGTCGTCTGTACCAAACTTTAGACCCTGCCATGGCAACGAGCCCCGGGCAAGATACACGAAGACATACCCAAGGGACTCCAGGTCGTCCCCCCGCAGCGCTGAGCTTGAAAGCATGTGGCGAGAGTGACCCCCTTGCTTCATGTGGTTGCTGGCACCGCAACGCTTGCTGGAGCTTGAAAGCATTTTGGCAAGGGGAATCCCCTTGACGCTCTTCATGTGGCCGCTGGCAACGCAGCGCTGGCTGGGGCTTGAAGCATTCGGCAAGGGGGACCCCCTTGCTTCTTGTGGTTGGTGGCACCGCAGCGCTGGCTTGAAGCTTCGAAGCATTCAGCAAGGGGGACCCCCTTGTCATCCATCAGTGGTTGGCGGCACTGCAGCGCCGGCTGGAGCTCGAAGCATCCCGTCCAGCACTCGACTTTGCCTCGGATGTATAGGTAAGATCTTTGATGCTTCTTTTTCCCAATCACTCAACGCTCCGAGCTAGGAGACCGCAAAAATCGTTGGCCAGTGGTTCCGGGGCCTGGCATGTGCCCAATTTCGGCACCGTCCACATCTTCCAAAGCGTCATCTCTAAGGGCCGTTTTGGAGCCCAAGCCCTTCGACATGGGCAGGCAGTACAGTACAAGGTTCTGTCGGAAATCCCTGCCTTTGCCAGAGCCAGAAGCGGCTTTGTACGGACTAAACGGGGCTGATCGGCTAAAAAAGGCGATGGGGCCCCTTTGGACGTGGATATTGCTGGCCCAGTGTTTTGGCGCAAGGACAGCGTGAATCCACTGAGAGATGTACCGTATCTCATGGAGGTTGGAGATGCGAATGAAACGCCGCGTCGATGAGCCTTTTAGTACTGTTAAACGACTTGCGCCGTTCGTCTCGCGGATGAAGAAGTACTTTCCTGCCATTCGCTAGCAGCTGTCCTGCTGCCCCGGCCTTCATGTCGTAGATCCCTCTTTGACCTCTTCCTTGCGACGCTCGGCACCATCCAATAAGACTTTTGACGTCGTCATATTCGGCCCCTTTTGGGTTTCCGGGCCAACCAGGCAGCATCTGTTTACTACCCCTGAGAAGGAACTCGCTTGGAGATAATGCTGTACTAAGCTGGCTCTTGGACATCGTGGCTGAGTGACGTACGCAGCCACTCCTTGGTTCGGCTATTCGCTCCGACCGCCGCAGAAGACCAGGCTAAGCAGCCCTACAAACTCATTCGCAGATACAATCATCTCTCCCAAACTTGCAACCACGTCGGCAAGTCCAGGCAGGCCCACTCCGGGCTTGCTGGCGATCCAAATCCTGGCGCCCCATCACGAAGAGTGTTGGTCCGAATTGGAATCCTTGGATCAAGATGTTTGGTTGGCTCACCGCCACACGTTGAGGTGCTGGAGCTAAGGCAGATTTCCGTGTTCCCCCTGACCAACACTGTTGTCGTTGAGGGAATCCTGGCCATTTTAGTCGCTGGGGTCGCCGAGCTGGCTGGACTACCGCAGGCAAACTTGCGCGTCCAGCCGACGGGAGGAGGGAAGTTTCCGTATTCGTTGGATGCGTTTGTCGGCAAAACGGGTGGATTTCGGCCTTGATTGCCCAAGGGCGCTATGAGACAGTCATCGATATCATGGCTTTTCTGCCTCGGCATTGCTGCATCAGCGGAAGAAGCCGTCGATTCGTCGGCTTGTTCGTTTGTTACGGCGTGCTGCTTAGCCTATTGGCGTCAATGGGTTGCTGCCGTGACAAACGGACATGAGACATAGTAGTGTTCTGGGTGGACAGATGCAGCCAGCTCTGCCAGATCATCTCCTTTAAGACGATTTAGCCTATGAGGTGCGTGGAGCTCGAAGGCCGTTTGTTTGTAGCTACGGGTTCTCTGGCATTGAAGGCATCAGTTCCAATGTCACGTTTCATGTATCTCAGGAGGTGGGTAGGCATTTCGATGGCCAGACTTAGGTAAAACGTTATTTATTCACTGGCAGGACGCATTGGTCTTTTGCCTATCTGTCAAGGGCAAGACCGTCGTATGCTTAAGCCTTTCTTCATTTAGTCACTTTCCCTGGCAGCCGTTCTCAACATAGCTCTCCGTTTACCCGGAAATTGCTGTACTCAACGTCTCACACCAACCACACAACAGCCCAAGGTCGACTTTCCAAGATGACCCCGGCCAAGGATGAAAATATTCCGGCGGTTTCGCTGGGCTCGCCTGCTCTGCTCGACAAGTTCGACCGTCTGCGCGATCTGAACATCAGCCACCTTGTTTCGCTACCTCAAGTAAGAAACTCTTCTGTTACTACCCATATTCATTCTTAGTTGAGGTGCTAATATTCTTCCCTTATAGCTCGTGGTTGTAGGAGACCAGTCCTCGGGAAAAAGTTCCGTGCTCGAGAGTCTGACTGGTTTCCCTTTCCCTCGCGCCCCTGGATTATGCACTCGATACGTGACCCAGATCACCTGCCGCCGTGTCAACCAAGAGTCGGTCGCCATCTCGATAATTCCGGGCGCAGGGGCCAGTACTGCTCACAAAGACAAGCTGCGAGCCTTTCACGCCGAGACCACAGATGTCTACGGAGAGAATTTTGCGCGTATCTTCCGGGAAGCCAGTACGGCCATGGGTATTTGAGGTGGTGAAGATGGCAAGCCCGATGGAGACAAGTCTCTCGACACTTTCAGTGATGACATTCTTAAGATCGAGATCACTGGACCCAATGTAGGTTTCCATCTCTCTATATTAACTCCTTCCCTATAATTCAGGCTAATAATATCCTCTAGCAATTCCCCCTGACGGTCATCGACGTCCCGGGCATCTTCCGCACTGCTACACCTGGCATGACGACCGAGAACGACATGGCCCTCGTTAGGGCGATGGTAGAGCGGGCTATCAAGGATGATCGAACGATGTAAGTCTCCGAAGCACAGGTCATAGAGGAATGCGAGCTAAAGCTGACCTCAATGTAGCATTTTGGCTGTTGTGCCCTGCAACGTTGACATTGCCACGCAAGAAATTCTTAAGCTGGCAACCGACGCCGACCCCACTGGATTGAGAACCATGGGTGTTCTTACCAAGCCAGACCTGGCTACGGAGAGAGCTACCCAGCAAGTGATCATCGATCTCGTCCTCGGAAAGCGAAACGATCTCAAGCTCGGCTACTGTGTTGTGAAGAATCGTAGCGCCGATGACGACCTTTCTTCGCTTCAAGACCGCGACGACGCTGAGAAGGTGTTCTTCAAGTCCGAGCCGTGGTGCCAGCTCGAAAGCTCGGGGCGAATTGGAATCGGCGCCCTTCGACAACGCCTGAGCGGCTTGATACAGTCCATCACCAGAAGGGAGTTCCCCCGTGTCCGCGATGACGTCCAGAAGAAGCTGCATGCCACTGAGGAGAAGCTCAAAGCTCTTGGAGATTCAAGGGCCGATACCATGAGCCAGCGATACTATCTGGCCGAGGTGGCTAGGAGGTTCCAGGACATCGTCGGTGATGCCCTTGACGCGAAATACACCCGTCATTACCTTTTCAATGACTCTGACCTGAAGCTGATCACGCGCATCATGGAATTCAATGACGCTTTTGCCGCCAATTTCGCTATGAGAGGCCACTCCCAGCACTTTGACAAAGAGCATGATGGATCGTCACCTTCAGGCGTAGGACAAGAAACGGAGGATGAATCAAGTGGGAGCGAGGATGGGGATAGGAGCCCTGCTGAGAAAGGCGAGCCAGGCTCGAGCCATTTCCCGGAGCTAAACGACATCCTGCTCAACCGCGACTATGTCTGCGCAGAGCCACAGGACAACATCATGGATTGTATTAAGGAAGTCTACCGTTCCAGCCGCGGCCCGGAGCTTGGTACGGTAAGTTTTCGCAAAATCTGCCGTGGGATTCAGGAGAGCTGCTGACCTCAATATAGTTCGGAGGATCCCTACTTTCCATGACCTTCAAGGTGCAGACAGAGAAATGGGAAAGGCTTGTTCACAGCCATACCAGCGCCGCCATCGTCCTTGTTCATACCTTCATTGTGAAAACTCTGAAGGAAGTCTGCCATGATGAGAGAACACGAACTGAGCTCTGGGACACTCTTCTGCTCGAGAAATTGCAGAGGGCATACAAGAAGGCCATGGACCACGCCAAGTTTCTCCTCGACGTGGAGCGCAACGGCAAGCCAGTTACGCTGAACAATTACTTCTCGGACCGACTCGAGCACGCGCGCGGCGACCGCTACCAAGCGCGCATCAAAAAGGTGGGGACCGTGCTTCAGCACGGAAATGCGCGCGGCTGGTGGTTGTCCCAAACTGCGCTGAATCAGGTGGCTCTGACCAAATCGGGCAACGTTGACCATGTGTGCAAGAAATTGCATGACATTCTGCAGAGTTACTACAACGTATCGCGCAAGCGCTTTGTCGATGTCGTCTGCCAGTACGTCGTGTATCACTTCCTCCTGGATAGCGAGGGCAGCCCGCTCCGGCTCTTTGACACGAAGCTCGTTCTCGGTCTGTCAGACGAAAAGCTCGATGCCATTGCCGGGGAGGATGCAACGGTGATGGTGGAGAGGGAGCGGCTGGGCCAGGAGGTGAAGAGCTTGAAGGCTGCCATCAAAATCCTCCGCAGTTAAGGGTTCGGCGACTGTGTTGCACCCTGATTGGTTGTGTTCGCCTCCGTCCAAATGGGACGTTTGTCTAAGTAGATTTACTAGAAGAACTTCTCTTGCCCCAGCTCGTATGCTGCCGGTAACGCTTCTCAATGAGCTTCGTCTCCGATGCTTGTCCGTCCAACTATTCCCACAAAATTGTCACTGCCACGAACTGTTACTCGGCCTCCGAGCGGCCTCACCGGGGGATTGGCTTGGTTTGGCATCTCCTTAAACAGCTTCTTAGTCCAGTTGAAGACGTGGTCATATAGGCAACTCTTTGCTCGAATGCGCCGAGCTGGCACACTTGGTGACATGACCACTTCAGGTACTCGTCGAAGGACGCCATTCTCTACAGGTTCGATATGACCATCCCATATCTCAACCATGGTCGATGAGCTGATGGGCTGATTAGCCGATGAGCTCGATGCGCCGCGAAGAAAAATGTACCTTTACCCTGTGGCGCCAGCGATAGAAGCCCCTTCTGAGCCGCTGAAGAATTTGTGGTCACATCAATTTCAGGCACTGTAGAGTGATTAAGCAAGCAAGAACGGACGTCTCGAATTCAAATTATCTCGGCAAAAATCACTACAAAAAGTGAAACCGGCCTGGTGTCTAGTTGAAATATGCGGAGAACAAAGGGTCGCCTCCAATTCTCCTGTTGGAAGGTGTAGTCGTCTCAGGAGCGTGGAACAAACAGTGCGCAAGGTGACACGAGTGCTTAGGGGTGTCAACACGCTTGTATGTTAAGGAATCTGGGAAGCTTGAAGCTCGTTGGAACAAGAAACAATTCTCTCTGCAACCATACCATCATTACTGGCTTTGATTGACGACTTTGGGCTGCCCCCTTGTACCCAAAAACCTCCGTTGTAAGCTCCCATCAAGCGTGTCACCATGTGTTGGAACGTGAACCCTGATTCAGAAGGTGCCAAGACGGACCCACATGTGGCTGGTGATAGACACCCTGGAGGCTGTCTGGAACATCGGACAGTTGAGAACACAGAACACAATCAACATCAGGAACAACCAAAAAATTGACATCCTCGTGACACTCTGCGACCACTGACCGTTTTTCCCTTCGTCTGCCTCGTAGCGGTTCCGACACCATGGACTCGTGGCTGTTGGACTTCCAACACCTCCAAACCAATCACAACCGGCCCCTCACCAAAGAACCAACCCAAGCTCAGCCATCCTCTTTCTATATCATTTATTCCCCAGAGATATCAACGTCCATTTCATCCGGGTCATTTCCCTCAGTGTCCCCAATGGCGTCCTTCATTTCCACGTCAGTTTCCCCGTCACCGCCGGAGTTACTGACATCCGTCATTTTCACTTCCGGGACGCTATCGATGCTCAGATTGGCCATCTTGGCAGTTATGTGCTCGATTTCATCGCTCATGCCGGAGTTGAGCAAAGGAATAGATATTGTGATGGCCCATTGCCGAGAAGAGTGTAGACCACCCGAACCAATGCCAAACTGGTGCTCTCGCATTATCGCACTGTTGATAATCACCATTATCTCCAATGTCTCGACCCAACGACCATACCAAATATACACCTCGGGCTGCCCCCAGACTAAACCCTGCCCGTTCTCCTCCAGTCTAACGACAAAAATAATCGCGATCTCCGACTGCTGCTACCGACAAATCTGTAACTCCGCAACTGTTTGAGGGAAGTACACCGCAGGTGATGCTGATCGAGTTAATCCCCTCGATGTTGGCACTCCAGATGCTGCACTCCGTGATGTGTCGTCCCTCTCAAGCCCAAAAAAAGATTTGGGGAGAAGAACCGTCGGCCGTCCGGACCGAGTCCGACCAGAGATCAGACGTGAGAAGTCAAAACTCGCACTGCGATGCTAACCAGCTCCTCCTGTCGCGAACGATCTCCGATCTCTCCGGATGCGAAAAGGAAGAGAAACCCCACGGCAGGACCAGTCCCTCTATCCCTCCGGAAATCTCGCCTCCAGCGAATGCCACCGAGAGAGTTAAGCGCGGCCTCGTAATCCCATCCAAGAAAATCAACAAACTACCGCATATAAACTCTTCACTCCGTTTGCTAATGGTCTCCGACCGAAGCGCACAAGAAAGAAGCGAGGCACCTGTCCCGACCAGTACGGTTGCAATGACTGTCGACTCTCCCGTCGCCAACAACAGAACACAATAACAGTCGCACTGCAACACTCCGTGCCTCTGCCTCCGGTATGAAGAAGGAAAGAAGGAAGAAGGGAATGCTCTCGATTCCCGGATGTCCCATCCTCTTATACGTCTCCCCACAGCCTCCCCCTGGTCGGACATTCGCCGCCTGCGAAAAGTGGGGCCCCGCTGAAAACGCCCATTCCGACGTTTCCCCATTCGGCTCCTGCGGATCCTCCCCCGTCCAATAAGCGGTTGGGGGACTGGGGGACTGGGGGAACTTATACAAATTATAGGGCTAAGTTCCCCCATATATAACCCTGAGGTGGTTGAATGCTTCTGCACACATAACCCTGAAGTGGTTGAATGCTCCCTATTGGTCGCATCCACCCCTGTGCCTCCACTTTTGGTCGGCCAATCAACCTCGTTTGCACGAAGGCCCTCACGTGAACTAACTCGATTACCTAACCCTAGAGGCTGACTAACCGTCCAGAGAAGGGGATGAACACAACAAAGTGTCGGGCGAGGTCACATATAGATGTTTGGGGCGTGGTGGTTTGAACGATTCGCTGCGGCTTACGCCTACGCTCACGCTACAGGGCCTGGGCGGCCCCGTACCCCCCCTTCTTCAAGGAAAGAGAACATGAGGGAGGGCTGGTGTTGGGTCTGTCAGGGGTGAAAGTTGGGTCTGTGAAAGACTTTATTCAAGTGATTACAGAGAACTACATTAAGGAATGGTAAGACTATCTAATGACAACAAGCCATCATATCGGCCTTCCTCTTGCCAGAACTACCACCTCCGTTCCACTGATACGAAGAAGCAAAAGACTGCTTCACCAAGCTAGTCAACTTGGCATCGCAAACCTCCATCAGGATACCGGCATCCAATGAGCCAGCGTACTCGGCAAACAACTCGGATAGACCACAGCGAGGGCAGACATGTAAGACTACATTCAGGTAACGTCTTTGCCTATCCGGCAGCCTTGCCCTCATGAGAGGAATCCTAACCATCTGCAACCATCATGCAATTAGCATGGCATTCCCTGGAAAGGGACAAACACTGACCGGCTGAGATTCGTCCCTAGACCGCGCCGCCTGTCGCTCATCGGAATCGAACCAAGGAGGCATCGTCAAAGGCTCGTCGTCCTCACTCGTCAAGGGCTCCTCGACCTCCGGATCGGACGCGGGCTCATCACCAAGCCCAGGCTCATCCCAAGAGGGAAACAGCTTCGCATCGAGAGGGTCACTAGGGTCACTGAGACCCCAGTCTACGAAATCCTCTGGCAGAAAGTAGTCCAACTCCATCCCCTCCGGACCAACTAGCGCGAAAACGAAGAAGAGGGTCAGCCTACGGGAAACTCGGCGAGACTAGGGATCAATACTCACAGCCCCACTGTGTCATCATCGCCATGATCAACTGGAAGGATTCCCTCGCGGCGGGAATAACACGATATCAAGTGGAGGAAGAAGCGGAAGAGTAAAGAGAAAAGGCCCTCTGGCCGGGAAGAGGAGCCCGACGGGTCCCTATATACTCCTAGGAGCGCAACCGTACCGGGGCGGAAATGGCCAGACAACCGGCAAAATGGCCAGACACCGTGATCACCAACGAAGCCATACGGCCACCAACAGGCCTCCTCTGCCACCGAGGAGCCGCTACCGCTGCAAAAGGAAGGACCATGCGTCCTCCCGACCGATCGGAAAACAGCGACCTACGCTAGCCTCGTCCCCAGGGCCGACCGTCTCCGCCGGAAACCTCTTCTGTCCTCTCGAACAGACCCCTCCGGGGAGCAGCGCATCCGCGTGCACATCACCACGACGGCATCGACAAAGCCGTCTCCCCTTCGGATCGACTCGGCCATGCCTCGTTCTCGATCCTCCTTAGCGTCCCGGTCGTCGCTCCCTGCGTGGCTCCTCCGGTTACCAAGGCCCGACTCCTCCGCTCTGCTTCGGGTTCGGATAAACCCTCGTCCCGCCGTCCAATAAGCGGTTGGGGGACTGGGGGACTGGGGGAACTTATACAAACTATAGAAGTCGTTCCCCCATAGTTAATCCTGGAGTGGTTTAACTATGGGGGAACGACTTCTATAGTTTGTAGTGGTACGGCTTTCTAAGCCGAATCGGAGCGGTCGAGTCAGACCTTTGTCCTTGCGGCCGAGCGAGGGAAACCGTGGAACATTTTCTA